TTGCCAAGAAAAACCCAAATGGAGTGATGAAAAGTTAGACACAACTGAAAAAATGACTAAACAAATTTTAATAATGGTTTCATGGTGTAGCAGATAGACACATGGCCTTGGAGTCAGGAAACCAGCTGTCAAGTTTTGCCTCTGACACCATGTAACCATAGCAAAGATAACTTCACCTTCCAATGCCCCTGGGAACTCTCTAGGACAGTTGAGGAAGGGAAGGTTTCATGGACAGAATTCCCCACATTGCAGAATCATCAGGTCTGAACCCCAGCCCCCTCCACCTCCCCAAATCCTCCCTACAATAACCCTGCCAGGTAAGAAGTACAAGGTTAATTATCCCCACTTTACAGAGATTAGAAAAATGAAGCTTTGAGAGGTCAAATGAAGAGGGGCAGTGGAATATACTGACAAAAGCATTAGCTCTGGCATATAATAAGCTCTGTATTCAAAAGCTGACCCACCTACTTACTACTTCCTCCTCTTTGTGTCTTTGTTTCTTCATCTATAAAATGAGGGGCTTAGACCAGCAGACCTCTGTCATCCCTTACAGTTTTTTCCTAATTAATGTTTTATTTTCCCCCCCATTATGCATAAAAACAATTTTTAACATTCATTGTTTTCTTTTAAGTTTTGAGTTCCAAATTTTTTCTCTCCTTCACTCTCCATCATCCTCCCTTGACATGGTAAACAATCTGACACACAGTTCTTTTTCAAAATAGATTTGTAGAAATATCTTTGCTTTTACATTGCCTGAACTTCTCCCTATATCCCAGAGAGCTTTCCCTTATAACAAAGACTTTTTTTAATCGTCAAAATTGGTCAACGCATCAGAAAAATATCAGATTGTATGCGGTTTTCCACACCTCTGGACTCCTCTTCAGTAAGTGTCTTGTTATATATTTTCTTTGAAACTAAATTTATTTTTGTCATGCTGCCACATTCGGTTTCTATTGTTTGGTGATGTTCTTTCCATTTCTGTTTTTGGAGTAATGAGACAACTTCAGAGAACCAGAGAAGACCTCTGTGTAGTGATAAGGAGTGAATTGAGTAGAATTAAGAGAACAACTTTACAACAATAATAACATTATAGAGAAAAACAACTTAGAAAGAGTCTAGAACTCTGATCAACTCAGTATAAGCCAGGAGTCCAAAGAGTGGAGATTAAATACTGCTCACCCTCTGACAGAGAGGTAATGAACTTAAAAGACAGAGGCATACATTTTTGGACATGGCCAATGTGGGAATTGCACACAGCTATGTATTGAGGGCTTTTGTTTTGTTTTGTTTTTTGATCAATGTGGTGGGGGGGAACAAATTAATTGGTAAAAAACAAAGGATATTTAGTAGGATATGTTGCATCAATTTCAATATAATTATTGCAGTGGTATTGCTTAGAATTAAAACTCAGGCCCTCTGAACCACTGTGCCAAAGGAGAATGGTAAAAAATACTCTGTATCATCTTGCTTTTGTAAAAATATATTTTCTGGAGTCAGAAGGACCTGAGTTCAAATGTGACCTCAGACACTTAACACTTACTAGCTGTGTGACCCTGGGCAAGTCATTTAACCCCAATTGCCTCATCAAAAAGAAAAAGAAATGTATTTCAATTCACTGCCTTGTTTGGGTAGGATTGCTATTGAAATGACTGTTATTAGTATAAATGGTGAATATTTCTTGAAAAATATCTTAAACTCAACATGGCCAAAACTGAACTCATTATCTTTCCCTCCAGCCCTTCCCCTCCTCCTATCTTTCTTACTGCTAGGGAGGGCACCACTATCCTTCTAGTCCCCCAGGGCACAACCTAGGTGTTATCCACAACTCCTCACTCTCCCCACCCCAATATCCAATTTGTTGCCAAATCCTGCCAATTCTACCTTTGAAATATTTTCCCCCAGCGTGCCTCCTTTGACAAAGCTGCTGGGGTGGAAGTCCTTGTTTTCTCATGAAAAGACCATTGTAAAAGCCTAATGGTCAGTCTCCTGGCATATCATAATTCCCCATTCCAGTCATCCTCCATTCAGGTGTCTAAGTGATGCTCCTAAAGCATAGATCTGACTGTCACCCCCCCCCCAAACTACAGTGGCTCCCCATCTCTGCCAGGTTCAAACCTCTTCCTGGCCCTTCCTACCTCTCTAGTCTTCCGACACCTTAACCCCTTCCAGACAGGTCCTTGAGTTCAGACACTGTCTCCTGTCTCTTACTGTATCTCCAGCACTTAGCCTGGTGCCTGGGGCATTTTGTTGTTGTTCAGTCATGTCTAACTCTTCATGACCCCATTTGAGCTCCACTAACCCTCCAGCTTGAGGTTCGAGTTCTCCAGCTCCGGCAAAGGGTCTTATCTTCTTCCTGCCTTAAAAACAGGGATCGTAGACTTCAGAGCTGGAAGGGACCTTAAGGGGATCATCTGGTTCAGCGGCCCGTTTTGGGGTTGGATCCCCCAGTTTACAATGGAAACAGCCCAGAGCAGTCAGGGTCACCGAGGTAGTAAAATCTGAGACACTCAGATCCTTTGTCTCCAAATCCAGCCCCAAGACAGTAATAGTCTACTTATCTGAAAGGAGTGTGATGACAAAATGCTTTGTAAACCTTGGAACTCCCTGTGTTATTCTGGTGGTATGATCTCAGCCGAGTGCAGAGAGATGGATGTGGGAGTCAAAGGGCCTGGTTCGAAGCCTAACTCTTCTACTTATTTTAAGGATGACTTTTGAGCAAGTCACTTGGCCTTTCTCAGACTGTTTCCTCATCTGTAAAATGGGAGCTAGCACGAGTTGACCTCTAAGGCCCTAAATCTCTAACCTTGAGAACCCAGCATTTTTTTTATTAAACATATTTTTTTAAAAATTAATTTATTTTGAATTACCAACAATCTCTTCCATAAGTTTTTGAGTTCTAAAATTTTGTCCCTCTCCCTCCCCAGCTTCCTCCCCTAGACAGTGTGCAATCTGATATAGGCTATACATATACATTCCTATTAAACATTTTCACATTAGTGATGTTGTAAGTAAGAATTAGAACCCATAGGAGGAACCACCAGAAAGAGGAAACAAAACACAACAGAAGAAAAAAAATAGCAAATAGTATGCTTCTATCTGCATTCAAACTCCATAGTTCTTTCTCTGGATGTGGGGATGGGCCCTGTGACAGCCCTCAGGTGACCACGGGGAGGCGCCACGGCTTCGTGGACTGCAGACCCCTAAGCACCTGGCGCAGCTGGGCAGCCGGGACTGCCCCGCTCCGAGTGTGGGGCCGGAGGAGGGGGCGCGGTCCCAGTGCGCCCGCCCCTTAGGGGGATCACCTGCGCTCCGACCCCCGCTAGCGGGAAGGACAGTCAGGCTGGGGTGGGATTTGAGTGCGGATCGCGGAACGCGGAGCTCGGGAAGTAGCTGTGCCTAGCTCGGAGCGTCCGAGCCCAGAGGCCGGGGGCTCTAAGCCTAGAGCCTCAGGGACCGAGCCGGGAGCGCCTGCAGCGGACGCGGGGCAGCGATGGCTGCCGGGGCGGGGAGTTTGTGAGCGGGGCCCGGGGACGGACAAGGTAAGGGGCAGTGGGCTCCCGTGCGTCTTCGCCAGCGGGCTGGGGCACAGAGAGTTCTCCTTTCAATTGGCCTAGGTGGGAGTCGGTGCGCGTACCTCTGGGGACCGCCTCGGAGTCTGGATGGGCAGAGAGCAGAATCTCAGAGGCAGCCCGAGCAAACTCACCTGGGAACAGCGAACCTGGGCCAGGGATCAGAGGACGTGGGCCAGGGAGAGAAGTTGGAAGGGAGATGGTCAATTCCTCCTTCCTTTAGGACTTAGGGCCTTTTTTTTCCCCTCGTTTTGGACTTGACCTTTTTCCTTCCCTTATCCTGGGTCTCCGCCCTTAACCCCCAAAAGAAACCTCCGAGGATCTGATTGGGAGATCCCGCTCGCGATCCTGCGGTTGGAGGGCCGGGATTGTTACATTCCTGCCTTTCTTTGTCTTGTACGGGACTTTGGACCTAGTAATTATTTAATAAGCATTTGGTGAATCAAGCCCTATAGTAAAGTATGTACTTCTTCATAGGACCGTGGTAGAATCCCCGATCTCTAGAAGGGACCTCGATCTGGGCCAACTCTCTTATTTTCCAGGTGAGGAGACGAGTCCCAAAAGGTGCGGTAATCTGCCCCCAAACACCTAGGTAGGAAGTACCAGAACTGCCAGGTGAGCTAATGTGCATTTCTAGTTTGTGCTTCTGGTAACAGGCCCTTGAGGTATGCAGGGCAGGTACGATTTTCATTTTGCTAATGAGGAAACAGTAGAAGTCAGTGAGACCTGGGTTCAGCCTCGCTTCGACCTCCTCATTTCTCTGAGCCTCATTTGTCTGTAAAATGGGGCTAAAGATACTTTATTTCTCTGCCTGTTGTTTCAGTCCTGTCCACTTCTGACCCCATTTGGGGTTTTCTTGGCAGAGACAATGGAGTGGTTTGTCATTTCCTTCTGCCACCCATTTTATGGATGACAGACTCAGGCAAACAGGGTGAAATGACTTGCCCAAAGTCACACAGCTACTAAGTGCCTAAAGCGAGATTCGAACTGGGGAAGATGAGGTCTCGGCTCCAGGTCCAGTGCTCTGTCCATTGTGCCACCCCTCCATCTGATAAGACCCTTTCCAGGTCAGCCGAGTCCTGGCTGCAGAGTCTGTATTCTAGTGTTTGAATTCTCCTGCATTCTAGTGCACGCTCTGCTATTAATCTGCTGTGACATCTTGAGTCCAGGAGTTGGACGAGATTACAACTCCTAATATTCTGCTCTAAGGTCTTTCCCCAACACGTTCTGCATTCTAAGGTCCTCTTCCAGCTCTGACAGTCTGTTCTAAGGGCCCTTTCAGCTCTGACATGCAATGGTTTGTTAAGGTTCCTAACCTTTGATGTTGTAAAACTGTCTTACAGCTCTGATATTCTATGTTCTGAAACCACACCCAGCTCTGACAATGTTCTGAGATCCGTCCCAGCTCAGAAGACTTGAGAATAATTCTAATGTGCCCTGGGAAGACAGGGATGGGGGAGGCAGTATATCAAGAAAGGGAACCAGCCTGGGAAGGAGGAAGACCTCTGGTGTGAGTGCCACTTTCCTTAAAGGTTGCCTGGGAGATCTTGGGTCAGGGTCTTCATCACTTGGTGCCCCAGACATTCTCCAGAACTGTAGACTGCAAAGCAGCTGCTGATCCATGGGAATTTCTTCCATTAAAAGTTGCCTATGCCAATGAAATCCTAGTCTAGTGAGAGTATAGAGCCCACCTTACTATAACATAAGACATTTGGGGAAAGAGGGTAACTGGCAACTACTCATGTTGGTCACTGGAGAGTTCCCCATCACTAGAAGTATTTACATTATAACATTTTGAGTGAAGAAAGTCCTTATAGCTCATCAGGCCCAAATTCTCCCCTCTCGCTCCACCCCTGGTTTTTACAGAAGACTAGACTGGGCAGTGCTGGGCCCGGAGTCAGGCCTGAGTTCAAATCCAGCCTCAGAAACTTCCTAACTGTGTGACCCTGGAAAAGTCATTTAACTGTTTGCCTCAGTTTCCTCATCTGTCAAATGAGCTAGAGAAGGAAACCCCCAAAAAAGGGTCATAGAGAGTTGGACATGACTAAATGACCAAACAGACTGACTCAAGGAAGGGAAATGACTTACCCAAAGTCACTCAAATAAAAACCAGAGGGCAAACAAGCCTAGATGCTCTGCCTCCAAATCCAGTGTTCTTTCTACCACAGCCAAGGCTGTCTAACCATGTGCCTGGGATGTTAAAGAAAAGATTCCTGGGGAGGATAATGGGGCATAAATAGAGGATTTCTAAGGTCCCCACGGACTCTAACCTTCTAGGACTGAGACAGATTGCCTGTGGGAGAGGAGGGCCCATTGCTGGCTGTCCATCTCCCCTTCTGCCCAGTTTCTCACTCCATTCTCATACCCTCCTCCCTTCTCTTTAGCTGGGTGCTGGGTACGAGGGAGGGCTCTGAGACGGGGGAAGACAGTAGATAACAGACCTAGGCACCACCCCGGACATAAGCCACCACCCCAGCTAGTATGTCACTCTATGCTGGAAATATCTCAGACACTGAGTGAGGCATTGGGAATGTGCTTCCTACCTGCCCCCCCCCATGCACATGCTTCCAAATGGGAGTGTGTGTGTGTGTGTGTGTGTGTCTGTGTGTGTTTTGTTCGTCACTCACCATCCCTCATTTCCAGACTAAATCCAGATTTCCAGACTAAAACACCCTCTGTCACTAGTCCCTTTAATGTGTTATCTCTGTCTATTAGAATGTAAGCTCCCTGGGGGTAGGGGGTGTCTTGATTTTGCATTTCTAACCCCAGCACTTAGCCCACTGCTTAAATGCTTGCTGCTTCATTCGTTTAATATATAGTAAGTGCCTACTATGTGTAGAGATGTATGCTGCCAGGGGGCAGCTAGGTGGCCCAGTGTATAGAACTCCAGCCTTAGAGTAAGGAGGGCCTGAATTCGAATCTGGCTTCAGACACTTGATGCTTACTAGCTGTGTGACCCTGGGCAAGTCATTTAACCCTATTGCCAACAAGAGAGAGAGAGAGAGAGAGAGAGAGAGATACTTCCTGAGGATGTTTAGGTAGCAAAAGTCCCTGACCTCATGCAGCTTACGGTCTAGAGTAAAGGAATATCGCACATGCTCCAGGAACTCTAAGTATACAGTAATACATGGTACAAAAGGTACAAATGCAGTGTCAAGGCCAAGGTGTCAACAGCCCCTCCCATGATCTCACTCCTTCCCTGGGTAAGATGCTTCCTCAGGATCATCTAACCCCAAGGGAAGGTGGCAGAGGCTTTAAGCCTTACTGAGTTCTTGATATACATTCCTGTTGGGTCTCACTTAAAGGGGCCAAGTCACTTAGAATCAGAGAACAGACCATATGAGCTCGAAGTCCGATCAGCAATCAATCAAAAGCATTGATTAGTGCCCAGCACATAGTAGGCACTAAATAAAAACTTACCAACCGACTGCCAGGCATTGTGCTAAACCCTGGTGATATAAAGACAGAAATGACAGTTCCCGATCTGTTCTTTTACAGGATGACAAAAATGAGGTCCAGAGGACAAAAAATGACTTGTCTAAGGTCAGAGAGTAGCTTGGATTAGTGAGGAGCAGAACTGAGAAGAGGAGGAGGGGTGGATGGCTTGAAGGGGAAAGGGGAGGCAATCCTGAGGAATTTATCCTGGCTTTCTGTTACCAGTCTGTCAGGTAACCTTCTGCAATTCATTTTCCCTCTTGCTCATCTCCAAAATGAACAGGTTGGGCTAAATGATCTCCCAGACTCTTTACAACACTGATTCTCTGGGAACTCTTTAACTGGGAATCAGGACTCCTGAGTTTGACGGGGAAGCGGTATTTGACATCCCAAGCCTCTCTTTTCAGGCCACTTATCAGCCAATATGACTTGTCTCAAGTCAAACTTGGGGCAGCTAGGTGGTGCAGTGGATAGAGCACTGGCCCTGAAGTCAGGAGGACCTGAGTTCAAATTCGGCCTCAGACCAAACACTTGACACTTACTAGCTGTGTGACCCTGGGCAAGTCACTTAAACCCAATTGACTAAAAAAGAAAGAATCAAGTCAAACTTGGAATCTCTTGGGCTGGTGGCAGAGGCTAATAGTTGTGGAAGAGGAGCAGTGTCATTAGGGAGGGGGCTCCTGGTGGTTCTAAAGTCAGCCTTAATCCTGAGCACCAGGGAGGAGAAGTTTTGTATTCAATCTTCCCCCAAGAAGTTGTTTAGTGTTAATTCCTCAGGGTAGATCACCTGTGCAAATAGCTGGGTAAATACTTTATAGCCCCATCAGAGAGATATCCCACTTACAAAGAGAATAATTGGATTCAGAGTTTGAAGTGACTTTTTGAGAAACTGAGGCTCAGAGATTAAAAAGGGACTTGCCCAAGATTACCTATTTGGAGCAGTTTTGATCTGGGGAAGGGGTTAAAAAGGGAGCAAGGTGTCTGAGGCAGTGCTGAGGTACCTGCCAAGCAGGGGACGTGGATTCCTGAGCTGGGGAAACCAGTAAAGATGGGGCCCCACAGCCCAGCCCAATCCTCTGGAGCAGAACTGGAGAGAAGGCTAGGGGAAGCTGAACCTTCCATGTGGTTTCCAAGGTCCCTGAGGGAAGCTAGCTGCTGTTTTGCCTGAGGAAGAAGCAGGAGGCTTTGCCAATCTCAGAAACAGAGGGATCTGTTCTTTCGGCAGTCCTTCCTGGCTGCCCCTGCTGGCCTCTTTGGCCGGGCTGTGCACACCTGGTTTGTTGAGCAATGGGGAATGGCTGGTTTCCCTGGCACCTGTTGTGCTGCTGAGGGAGGCAGGGGGCCCGTGGCGGTACAGGAACTTTTACAAGAGACCAATCCCAACTTGGGAGAGTGGGCATCTACTGGGGTAAGGACTGGCCCTTAGCAAGATGGTGGATTGGAGGCAATGGATAGAGTGAAAAGGACCCAAAATAAAGGAGACAGGGGAACTGCATTTGAATCCCAGCTCTGTTTAGTTCTTGTATGACCTTGATCCCCATCCCCGTCATGCCCAGTCCAGAAACAATAATCAAATCAAGGCCACCATAATTTCTTTTAAGAATGTTAACCTACTTCCCATTGATCCCATTCACCATCTTCCTGCCTATCCAAACCCCAACAGCCCTTCCCAGCCACCTGGGCTGGGAATATGAAAAGTAAGACAATTCCTGTCCTCAAGAAGCTTACGCTGTAAAGGGAAGAGACACACATCTACCACGCCGGCCACCACTACCCTTTATGTGTGTCTCTTCCCTTTAGAGCGTAAGCTTCTTGAGGACAGGAATTGTCTTACTTTTCATACTCCCAACCCACTTAGTCTCTTGCTTAGACTATAGTAAACCTTTAGTAAATACTTTTTCATTTTTTCCTCCCTACCTTTCCAGACTTATTTAATATTAAATTAAGCCATACTTCTCACATCTATACAAGGAGGGAATTGCCCTAGGTAAACTCTGAAGTCCCTTCTAGCTCTAAACCTACGGTCAGATATCAACACCAACAATTCACATAGCTATTTATGAAGCACTTTCCTCACTAACATCGGAGGCTGTTTCAAATTTTGTCTCATTCAGTCGTTTTCAGTCCTGTCCAATTCTTCAAGAATTTAGGATTTTCTTGGCCAAGATACCAGAATGAATGGTTTGTCATTTCCTTCTGCAGTTCATTTTCCAAATGAGGAAACTGAGACAGACAGGGTGAAGTGACTTGCCCAGGGCCACACAGTTAGTAAGTGTCTGGGTCCAGATTTGAACTTGGGACTTCCTGACACCAGGCCCAGTGTTCTATCCACTGTGCCAATATATACAGGATAAATTAGAATCAACAGAGGGAAGGCACTGGCATTAAGAGGGATCAGGAAAGAAGGTGAGATGTCTAGCAGAAACTTGAAGGTATACTGGGAAGATGGGAGACAGATGAGGAAGGAGGGAATTATAAGTATGGGGAACAGCCAATGGACGTCTCCCCTGGAGATGGGAGATGGAGTGTCTTGTTCAAGGCACGACAAAGAGGCCAGTGTCACTGGCCTGAAAAGTGGGGGGGGAGGGGGGATAGGCCGGGGGAGGGTAATGTGGAAGAAGACTGGACAGATAGGATGGGGCCACATTATCCAACCTTAGTCTCTCTCTGGAGCTCCGTTCTGTCAACATTCTTTGCCTTTGAGATATCTTGAATAGGATGTCTCAAACCTAACATGTCCAAACAGAACTCATTGTCTTTCCCCTCAAACCCTTCTTCTTACTGCTAGTATCTTCCCTCTGTTGATTATTGCCAATTTATCCTGTGTATATCTTGTTTATACATAGTTGTTTGCATATTGTTTCTCCCCTTAGACTGTAAGCTCCTAGAGGACAGGGGCTGTTTGCTTTTCTTTGTATCCCCTGCGCTTAGCACAATACCTGGTACACAGTAGGTGCTTAATAAATGCTATTTGATTGACTCTGGAGCCAGTGCTTCTTCCCTGGGGTATACCAACATCTCCACCCATCCCAGGAATGCACTTGATCCTTACCTCTGCTTCTAGAATCCTTTAGC